TCACCGCTTCTCCTGCCAGAAGGTTACAGCAGACAGACTGGCATCAGGTGAACATGAATTAGGGGACCAGATGAAGATAAGCAAGGGGAGGTCCAGATGAAACCAATCCTCTGTCTGAATGCAGGGTGTAGGTTGTCAGSCACCTGCCCCAAGCTCAGGTGCCAGCCTGGCCCTGACAGGGGGAGACTCTGGGTGCACTTGGGCAGATGCAACTGTGGGGTGGAGCTGGTCAGTGTGACACCCCCACACCCTGGGGCGTCAGCCTGGCCCTGTCAGGATGTCTGATGGAGTGGTCAGTGTGACACCCCCACACCCTGGGGCGTCAGCCTGGCCCTGTCAGGATGTCTGATGGAGTGGTCAGTGTGACACCCCCACACCCTGGGGCGTCAGCCTGGCCCTGTCAGGATGTCTGATGGAGTGGTCAGTGTGACACCCCCACACCCTGGGGCGTCAGCCTGGCCCTGTCCAGCAATCTGAGTCACCAAGGGTGGGATGTGCCACACCTTGTGGTCCCCCTCCACCAAAGCAAGCCCAGCAATGTGACACAAAGTAAAAGGAGTTCTGTTAGAGCTGTGATCCCACCACCATCTGACCCTAATGGGTGGACTCCCACAGTGATCTCACCCTCTCGGCTTACTCAGCTCCACGAGTAGCAGAGAAAGGTCATGCTCCGTTAAAACCAAAATGTGCTTTCTTGCAGCTTTTTCCCCTTGGGCCAGAGGCTGTATCCCTGACTTGGGCAAAAGTCCAATTGGAAATAATGAATGTAATTACCTTGTAAGCACCTCAGTGGAAAATATTGGTATAGTTAATTATACCRGGATGCAATGCTAACCCATTTCCCASTGTTTAAAATACAAATATTAATGCKTTCTCCTTTGGGGTTTTGAGAAAATTAGCTATTGCTGCAGTCTAACAGAATTGGTAAGTTTTTCAGCTATTACAATCATTTAAATGACAAGGTTTCCACTGCAGTTTTTAACATCACTGGTTGGCATCACGTGTGTTACTCAGCACAGAGCTGGGAGATTGAGTGCCCCTGCAAGAATGAGRTCTTTGGCCATGGCCCTTTACACATCCAAAACTGAGCTCTTCCAAAGGATGTCTGATTTTAGYGTTCTTAAATTGAAGGTAAGAAACTCATACATTGAATACTGGGAGAACTGAAATTAAAATTTAAGTACCAGGAGAATTGAGAAGGGTACCCAAAACCTGGGACTCAGGTGCCTTCCAAGAAATCCTGGTGAAACGTCTATGTGAAAATGCCTCTGTCTTTCATTAGGGATCATAGGAAGCAGTGTAATAAACTCGCAGCATGGACTGAGCATGTACTCCAGGATTTTCACATTATGGCTGATTGACTTTCCAGGTGTTGAACAAGGAACCTGGTATTGCTATGTCAGTCTGTCTAAAAAACCCCATCAGTTTTAGCTGGCTGCTGGAAGAGTCCTCTGTGAGCAAATGAGCAAAAGCCACTACACGCATTTGGCTTACTGCCGTATTTGTTGACAGTTGTTAACATTTCTGAACTATTTGTACCCTAGCAGATATTCATAGGTCAAAACAAGAAAAGGCTCAACTCTCTTCTCACATCTTTGCAAAAGGAGTGGAAAGGATTTATGAAAATATAAACTGCCCTGAGATTTCTCTTTCAGGTACTTGAGGAAGCTTTTCCAGGAAAAAAAAAATAGGAAACATGAGCACTTTGTGCATAGGACTTAATTGTTCAGCAACAATGGCATTTTGCAGAAGGCCACCTCTCCTTCMAGGAGCCACTGCCACAGGCAGCACCACAGGGCCTCGTGCACCCAGGCACAGAGAGGGAAGGGACAGGCACAGTGTCATGCTGGGGATCCCTGACACAGAGATCTTACACACATCTCTTACATCAGTGTGGGAATTAATGAGGCCAGCAACTGAGAAATCCAGCCAGGCAGCTTAGGGGACTCCTGCTTCAATAGAGAGCAGTGTTTGCCCCCATGCCCTGCTGCACTCCAAGCACTGGGAGATCACTAAAGAAAACTACTTTTATTGAAGTATCTTCTTGAGAAAAGTCTTACCACCTCTGCTATTTTTCAGTTTTGTGCCTGTTTTGCTGCTACACCAGCTCACTCGGAGGCCAAGCACAAGCCACAGAGGTTTCCTATGCTCAACAGCAACGATGGATTAGTCACCACCCTGACTTTTGAGTACACTTCCACATGCCACACACAGAAAAACCAAGGAAGCCACTCTCCAGAAGGGAAATAAAACCATCAACCTCTAAAAGCTGCCAGACAGGTATTTCAGCCAGTGGAAAAAAAAAACAAATAAAAGCATGTGCAGGCCAGGGGCAAACTCCAGTCTTGTTCAACACCATCCAGGTGTACTGCTGCAACCTGAGGACAGTCTCCATGAATCACAACACTGCTCTCACAAGTGTCAGCATAGAATCTTTTAATACTTTACATAAAAAACTGCATACACTATAGTTTTATGTAAACATCATATACATCTCAGTTTTTGCCATGTCAGTTTATTAAAAACAGTCTCAGTACCACTGTTGAGGGAAGAGGGAGAAAAGTAAACAAACATAAACGGATACATTTGTTCTCTGAACCAGAGAAACACAATTATTTTCACCCAGGTTGGCCACCCTGTGAAAATAAGTTTTAAATAAACCTTGATTCTTTAAACTGCCCTTTAGTACTAAAGTCTGATGTACTCACTGCATAAGGAACAGTGTTTTCACCCATCTTTTTTCCAAGGCAAAAATATACAGTGGTTTTATTTTGTCTTGYGTTGAAATAAATTTTAAACAAGACCCAGATGAGGTTACTGAGTAAAAATGTTTCCAATGCTACAGTGTTGAATGCAGATGATGAGTGCATTGAGTGTTTAATTTAAAACATCAAAAAAAACAAATCCACCAAGTTGTGCAAAGTAACTTCTTTTGAAAATAAACTTTTAAATAAACCCAAATCAACACACTTGCAGGAGACAACATTACAAGTAAGGAGCAGGCACCAAGATCATCATATGGCAATATCATCCCCTTGCTCATCCTGCCTCATCTGTCAGGAGGTGGATGTCCAGCAAGTAGGACAGTTCAGCTTTACTTTCTGGCCTGGTGGCTTCTGCAGCTGAAGTCAGTTCAAGGCTCCTGTTATCAGCAGGCATCAGTCACTCAGGGAGAGTTCCTTTGCACAACACAAGTCCCACCTGGGCACCCCCTCCCCACCTCACTTTAAGTAAGCACCCCCTGCACTACCCCAGTTTGCACAAGACAGAAAAGTTAAGATATATACAGGCTTCACTTGGGATGACCCTCCCCTCCCAGTCTCGGTCTTCAGGGCACTAATTTCCACAGCAGGTCAGGCTCAGGCTGAAACATGTGAGGGAGAAGCGAAGATGCTGCAGGCAGCCTGGGAGAGGGGCAGCCCCTTTCCCCAGCTCACCTAGGTGGAGGCACATGCAGGCAGGAGGCAGAAGTCCTTTGAGCATCTCAGCTCCACCGCCCTCCTCTTGCAAAAGAGAGGAGGCTGCCCGGGAGCAGAGAGCAGCAGGTGTTGGCAAAGGGGCAGAGCCGGGTGCAACGTTTGCTCAGTCCAGTCTCAGCAGCTTTTTGTTTTGTCGAGTCCGCGACTAACTCGCGGTGGCCGGTGGTAGAAGGCTTCTCCCCACTTTATTCCCAAGACTCAGGGCATGCAATCCCCCCCTCCCTCCGTCCCCACGGCTGAGCAAGCACAACCCTTTTCGGCCAAGGCTCAAGGAGCGTGCTCCCTCCCTTAGCCCCCACCCCCATCCACGGCCAGCCCCTAGCGGAGGGGACAGGCAGATGCCGTGTGCGTGTAGAACCCAGCTCCTCTGCACCTGCCAACAGGTGACCCAGGCGCTGTGCCCAGCGCCGCGCTCCAGACACGCCCTATAGGACTTTGCAGCAGTTGATGCAGCCGTTCTGGGTGCCGTAGCGCTTCTGCAGGGCTGCTCGGGTGGCCGTCTCGAACACCTCCCGGACACCCTCCTTGGTCTTGGCCGAGCACTCGAGGTAGTCGTAGGCCTGGATGCGAATGGCCATGGCCCGGCCGTCCTCGGTGCGCACCGGCTCCTGCTTCATGCGGGCCAGCTCGTTCCGCACGTGCTCGTCGTTGCGCAGGTCCTTCTTGTTGGCCACCAGGATGATGGGGACGTTGGGGCAAAAGTGCTTCACTTCGGGCACCCACTTCTCCGGGATGTTCTCCAGCGAGTCCGGGCTGTCCACGGAGAAGCACATGAGGATCACATCGGTGTCTGGGTAGGAAAGGGGACGCAGGCGGTCATAGTCCTCCTGGCCAGCTGTGTCCCACAGGGCCAGCTCCACCTGCTTGCCGTCCACCTCGATGTCCGCCACGTAGTTCTCGAARACGGTGGGCACGTAAACCTCGGGGAACTCGTCCTTGCTGAAGACGATGAGGAGGCAAGTCTTACCACAGGCACCGTCCCCCACCACCACCAGCTTCTTGCGGATGGCGGCCATGGCCAGGCTCGCCAAGCTGGTCTTGCCGTGCAGCAGGACGATGGCAGCGCCCTCCTCCCCGCGGCCGCCGCCTCCCGCTCCTTCTCGCTTCTCACAGGGCACCGTGGCGAGCCGGCCCGCGCAGGCAGGCGGGCGCGCCCTCCTCTCTTTACGCACCGGCACCGCGCCTCCGTCTCCTGCCTCGAGGCAGCGCTACGRCCGCAGGGCAGCGCCGCCGGTCCCGGAGCCCTGCAGTGGAAGCGCTAACGCCGGTTCCAGCCCTCACAGCGAACACTCACACAAAACCCGCTCCGCGCAGCCACTGCCGCAAGCTGCGGCCCGGCGCCGCTATTTAAAGGCGCTCGCGACTTTCTTAATATAGCCAACCAATGGGAAGGTAAAGAGTGAGGTCATCCCCGGCGAGAAGCGCTGCGATTGGCGGCTGCCGCGGGCGGGAGGCGGGGCCGGCGGAGGGCGGGGAGCGGCCGGGCTGGGCTGGGGCGGCGGGCGCGGGGTCGCGGCGGGAGGAGCCGCTCTGAGGGCGGCGGGGGAGCTCCCTGGCCCCGGCCCGAGCCCTCCCGGCCCCGGGGGATCCCGGCTTGGCGCCGGGACAGGGCAGGGCCGGTCCCCGCCGCAGTCTCGCCGCTCGGGATGRCCGGTGTGAAGAGTCTGGGCGAGCAACCAAAAGAAACGGGGAGAGCCGCTGCGTCCCAAGGGCTGCTTTAAAGCCCAGGCAAAGTGAGCTGAGAGTATTGCTGGCGGTTGAATRAAACAAAAGCGTCCGCTGGATGCTACTGGAAAAGCGCTAGACTCCCTWCCTTAAAAAATTCATCATGTTCTCCTCTCGCCAGCTCTTGGCCAAAAGGGAGAGGAGGAATTGTAAACCGGGAGAAGCAGCAGRCTTGAACTGAAATGGCCTTTGGGTCTCGATTTACAGGGATATCGGAAGCCGCAGCAATGAAAAAAAGAAGGTGGGACATAAAGGGGCGCAAAAYGCTCTAGTCCGGGGTTACTGGAGGGGCAGGGTGCGAATGTCTGGGCTGTCCCAACCTTTCCCCTGCGAGTTTTTCCACACAGACCAAGTCCTGTGGCTAGTGCCGCTCGGGGTTTGATCCAAAGTGTCCCGTTTTCCTAGCCAGCACTGGCATTAGTGAATAGAACAAAAAATAAGCGGTTTGTACAATACCGTTGTTATTAAAAATTATGTTTTCAAATACCCACTTGGAGAGTGAACGCATCACTGAGTACATCAAATTTCTTGACAAGTTACTCGCAGCAGACTATTACAGAGGAGGGTGTGCCTATAAGGCAAAAGGTTCACTTAATCCCGGATATTGAAATAAAATTCATATTCTGCGAGGTTTTTGTAATAACCGTTTCTCTCTGTYAAAAGAGTATGTCCCCGGATAGTGATGGATGGATTTGCACCCTGATCTTACAGGGGCCATACTACATATTTTATGTTCAGTGAAAATAACAAATTCAAACTGATTTTTGAAAGAACCCAACAAATAAGTGTAGATATAGACCTCAATGTTCAGTATCTGTGGCCTTCGAAAGGGCCAAATTTCTGGTTTGCATCGTCCCTTTAAATTTGTTGTCACTGCTCACAAGCTTAAATTCTTCGCAAAACTGCGCAGAAATCATCCGCATGCTGCCAAGCCCTCCTGGCGATGGAGCGCTGGCAGCTTGTAGCTATTTTCTCTACACTCCCGAGCACGCAAGGCCGTTCGGAGAGGCAGCAGAGTGATTTCTGTATATTTTTGCTGTATATTTTTGCTGTATATTTTTGCTGTACAATGTCAATCCCAGTGAAGTCGCCGCTCCCGCCCCCGCGGCGCCCCGGCCCCGCTGCGCTGACGGCGGGGGCTCGGCGCCCTCTCGCGGCCGCTCTGCGCCCTGCACCTTCTGCTCCCGATCCTTGCAAAAATCCACCTCTGGGACGGCAGCGGGAGAAGCGGCAAGGGCTTCATCCGTCCTGAGAAATCCTGCTTAAATATACTTCTGATTCCGTTTGTATTTGACTTTTGAATCGTGCCTGCATGTTTGGTTTTGTCTTTTCAGGAGCGAAACGTTTTGTTATATAGAAAAAGGAATCAACCGAATGATCTGTGCTGCGGAAGGCAGGTAAATAAGCAGCTTATTCATTTCAAAGCACAGGGCTCTGTTGTTCGCCCAGAGTGCTGCTGGCAATTACCCGTGTGCCTCGAGTGTCCCACATACGTGCTCCTTAACTCATTAAAGACTTCAAAGCAGAGCGATCTCATCCAAACTGCTGYTCCCAGCTTCCAAATTGTGCTAAGGAATCACTCCACAAATGTCCAGCTAATRTAAGTCAAACCCACAGCATGAGCTTTCCTTGTAACTGAGCAGTACACATATATTTCCAGCATCCAACTTTGGTCTCAGCCAYGAGCGCCTCATTTTCTAGTGAAGCCTCACATCTCTTGTCTTCCACACAGTCGTGCTAAATTCAAAGGGCCTGATGTTTCATCTCTCACCTTGCAAGACAGACTTCAGCAAAGGCCATGTAATTCCCTGACCAGGGGTTTCAAACGCTTTGTAAAATATTTTTTCCAGAGGCTTTGCATTGTGAGACTCAGCCCTGTGACCCACTCAGGCTGAGATCACACTCATTTCACTGTTCTGGGGTACACTACAGTAACAGCCTCTACGGGGAGCATCTGAGTCACTCTGGTTATCCCACACTTGCACTTAGTGAGTGTACCCAGCTCATGTATTTTAGGGCTGACTTTGAGCTTTATGTTGTAGTTTTTATATTTTCTGCATGAATCTGCATGATACGCTAAATTATATTTCTTTAGGCAAACTGAATCTTCACTTCTAGTTACCCGTAAATATGCACTCTCTAAGCAGAGCARTAGTTCTGCTGCACCACATACATCTGTATGATTGGTGAAGAAAGCACRGAATAGGAGAAAGAAGGCACCATTTGTTTGCCTTCACTGTTTGTGCTCATGGTTTTGAGATTAAAACTCAGATTTTTTTGTTTGGTTGGTTTTTTTTGGTTTTTTTTTTATTTAATCCAAGTGGCATCTATTTTGTTGCTGAAAAAAAACAATTCCTGTCAATTACTGGAGATTGTTTCCAGATTATATTCCCCCTCCTGCTCTTCTTGCTAAACAGATTTTCTAAAAGGGCATGTCTGTAACTCAGATAATTTGTGTTCAAGCGTCGATCTGTACCAAAAGCATGAAAGCTCAGTGGGGAAGGCAATCTTTCTCCTTTTTGTCAATAAGTAGGCAAGTAAGTACAGTGCCTGCTGTGGCTTTACATGCTGAGGGAGCCATGTGTGCTCTAATGGCACATTGAGTCCTGCACGCTGACTTGTAATGCTGGCATCAGGCATCCTGCAGTCCTCATGCAGGCAAAGCTTCTCAGCAAAGGGAGGAAGTCAAGAGATGGCTAAATTTGAGCAGTTCACAGGYTAGTGTGGAAAAGCTCAGAGTAGATGTGGGAGGATGGGCAGAAATGGTGAATATCTGTCTCTCTAAGCTGCTAGGAGTTTCTGGCACATTTAGGAACCAGACTACTTTCTGTGTGTCACAGCAGGTCCACTKCTTCCCAGTGTACCTGGAGAAAAGCAGAGTTCAACTCTCTCAGTGCTCTCAGCAGAGAAGTCAGATTGATTTACCTAGAAACTGGAATACCAAGGCACAACAGGACAAGRTGACAAGAGCTGTGTATTTTCAAACAGAGGTTTATGCTAAGTACAGCGCACATGAAAGCACATCATCCCAAAAAAAAGAAATGTCTTCATGACTAAAGAGCTGTATGGGATCCACTGGYATTGCTCTTYCAGGGAATGAGAGGTCAGTCAGCTSTTGSTTTTAATTTTTTCAAGTTCTTATAGCAAGGCTGTAACATTTATATTTTAATAGGAGTCAGGAAATATGGTCTGGCRGAGTAAAATGATACCACTACAGTAAATTAAAGTGGCCTTTTGTCTCCAGCTGAGTTCAAATTATATAAAAACAGGTTCCTCATCCTTAGGCTAGAATTTTTAGACCTACAACCCCTCATCTCAGTTGAAGAACCCTTCTGTAGCTGTATGAAATAAATGGGTTGACCACATAACCATTGCAGATACTAATCATGTTACATATCTGTATCACCAATAATGCCTTTGAAAACAGTTCTCTCTACAGAGAGACCAAAGTAATCCACTTCTGGTTTCCTTTGTTCTCAGGTTTTAATGACTGCAGACACCTTGCGGTCTTTGTCTACCAGGAAAACAGAGACAGAGTAAAAATTGCTTGTCCAGTGCTAACAAGAGGGCAGAGAATTCAGTCTCTGTTGATGGATGTCAAGATAATACCCTTAACAATAGGAAATTCTTCCTCTTTAGACTCTCCAGAGGATGTACTTCATTCCACTACTTTGAGGATGGTCAGACACTGGCAAAGGCTGCCCACAGAGGCTGTGGAGTCTCCATCCTTGGGCATATTCAAACTGGGCACAGTYCTGAGCAAYCTGCTGTAGTTGATCCTGCCCTGAGCAGGGCAGGGTGGAGTAGATAATCCCCTCTCACCTCATCCATTCTTTGATGCTGCAATTCATTTATTTGTGATGCCTTGGCAGATCTAGAAAGTGATGTTCTGAGGGTCCCTCTGGCAGATCCTGCTCGTGTTTCACACTCCAGCACTGYCAGCCCATGTTCCACCAAGGAGTTTGGCACACTCTGTTCTGAAGTGCTCACACAGGGTGAGTCTTTCGCAAGAAGAACAAGGAAACTTCTGAAGTAAACATGTTGTGATTTGTTAATGATTTGTGTAATTTTCACTTTATTGCCAGTAGATTCTTCAAACAAACAATGATGTCATGTTGTTCTCCACATAGATTACATGACTATATTAAGACACATTAACCTATTCCTTTAATCACTGTGTTCTTCATGATGGTTTTTGAAATGTGGTGGTCAGTTCTCTCCGCAGGGGAACCTCTGACCTGAGGAAGCTGAGGCAGAAACAACATTAGAAGAAACTGATCTAAGAAAAAATGGTTGATGGAGGAAATTACTATCCTGTCAGTCTAACAAATTCTATTTCATTAACCATGACTCTGTGAACACTGAGAACACTTTCCTAATTCCCACGTGATAACTGATCTATGAGTAAAAGCAGAATGGATGCACACAGAAGAGCTATTGCCATCAACAGATCATGGCAGGAAAAATGTCAATACAACCCATTTAAAGTWGTTCACTACAATGATTTACATTCCATCTCACTCACAAAATTAAGTCATTTAATCTAAAAAATCGGTTATGGACTGAACATTGACTATAAACAATATCTGAGATGATAAAAAACAAATATAGGGCACTGCAGGAGTCTTGTTACGTGGTTACATGGTTACATACAGATTTGGCTTATACCCTAATTTTTTGATTTGTAATATTAGGCAAGAACAAGGTAGTCAAAATTTCAGAAGATTCTGATGGCAGAAAAATTAAAAGGGGGATAAAATAAGGAAGAMAGGAAAGACAGGAGTATGGAGAGAAAAAAAAGGAGATAAGGGAAATTCCTAACTAATGAAATTTCTCTCCTCCTTCTATCCCTCACAAAATCTTAAATAGAAAAAATGTCCTCTCCTGGGAATATGTAATTTTGTACTTTATCTTGATTTTGAAGGAATGGCTTATTTTAGGAGAAAGCTACCTGTTGTTGGAGGTCAACCCTGGGGTAAAATAATTTGCCATGTCATGAAGACTCCCCCCCAAGTCTTGTGAGCCAATGCTGTCACTACTGACACAGAGGTGGATGGGAAAGAGATGATACTCATTCTCTTGGATGTGTGAGGGAAGAATGAAGCCAGTTACTGAGATCCCCAGGCAGTGTTCCACAAGGATATAGACATCTACTGATGTCATTTTAAGGTGCTTCTTCATGGACAGGACTGGCTTAMAGCAAAACATCCTTGATTTTTGGGTTCCAGAAATCAAAGTGTTCTGCCCCACGGTGCCTGTTATTTCAGGGGCTGTCAAGATAGAGCTGAGGTATTAAGAAGAAACTTCTCCAGGCAAGGGGATGATTAACACTACAGAAGGAAAAGCTGACAGCATTGGGCCTTAAGCTCACCCGGGCTGTTCTGCCAAGAGTAAATAAGGTGATGATAGAGGCCTGGAGATCATTAACCAATGTGCATTGCTTGAGGAAAGGAGGAGAAAGAGACACTACAGACACTGCCAAATTTCAYAAGAAGTGAACATTACTTTGTTGTTGGATTTCATCATGTGGAAAAGTAAGCAGATACTTTTGTTGCTGCTGTGTTTGTGCTACTTTTATGTTGTAGGAGGAAAAYGTCCCTTATCTACAAAGCATCACACTTTAAAAKTTGGATTTATTTCCTTCTTCAACTCCAATACAGGCCAAATAGAACAATTATACTTTTGAGATGAGTACCCATCTTGAGAAATGGCAATGACCAAGCTACCATTCTCCACAAAGGTTTTTTGGTCAAGGAAAATACACACAGACTAGGATAGAAGCATAAACCACCATTAGCAGGACAAGCACAAGAACATATGTTTTAGTGAATCTAATCCCAGTCTTCTKGTAGCAAGATTTAGTGCAAACAGCTGTGCTGAAGAAGTTTCYTAGGATGTACTCCCTTCCATACTCTACCCTGAAGGGTGTCCTCAGGGAAGGGTGCCACCACATGGGTATCCAATAGTCTGCTGTGCTAATAGCAGAGGGTTTTGACTGGCAGAGCAGGTTTGACTTTCTCYAGGATACATTTGTAGGGCTGGCCCAAGCTTGGTTCCATATATGCATCAGGAATGCAATGTATAGCATAGAGCACAATGTGGGGCACTGCTATCTCCACCTCTTCTTCAGTCACAGGTGACTAAACTAGCCTGGGTTTGGGGTAGCATAGTCCAATTCTTGACTGAATTCCTACCTTAAATGTAGAGAAAAAGACTAGATTTTCATTTCTGTACCTCTTTGTTCTTATGAGCTGGATGTATGTTAAATTTTTCTGTCTTTCCTTAGCACTTGCAGGCACAAGACATGAAGGAGAGGGAATGCCAGCAACCTATGCTGTCGACTTTGCAAGTCATTAACAGTCTGGAAAGAGACTGAGACACAMTGTCAACCTGAGCAGAACATCTCAGAGAGGCACAGAGACAGACCAAAATGGAAAGACTTGGGGTGCAACWCCCCAGCTCTCCCTTCTGAGAAGCACTGAGTGCTGGCAGCCCGAAGAATGGRGTTATGGACTGAAATTAAAGGCATAAGGCTGGAAGGAGGCAAGTAATGTGACTGCAGGGTTTGAAGACACATGCTGTAACAGAAGTGGACAGAAATATTTAAAGGCAAACCCCTTCTGATCCTGAAGTGAAGGTACAGCGCTAATTGAGCATAACTGTCATGAACTAGGRGGCCATGGAATTCTGTCWCTTTCTTTYGCTGACTTCCTCAGAGCTGGTGTCATCAGTCTGGCARCCTGGTTAAAGCYCCMCCRAGGGAAACAAAATGAGAATAAAGAYAAATTTCTAAACTGATTACACACCTGGAGCTRTACACTTTGCAGATGAGCTTTTCCATGTGAGACACCTAGCAAAATACACACTTAAGGTTTTTTTTTTCTTACCCACTCTTCCCATCAGTATTTGTTTATTGATAATATCATGGGTAGAAAYATTTGGGCTGGCCAAGTATTCAGTATTGGATGGCTTGCTGCCCTCCTTCTACATCAATTTTTGGTTGCAGTTTTGAAGTCCAGAATCACACTGTGCAATAACAACAAACGCTTCAAGGATGACATTTCCAAAAGTACCTTTCTTCCAGGAATCTTTTTCAACATGAATTACCAGCCCATCTCTTGGTGATAAGTAGGTGTTATTTCCATTTCCAAACTGAGAAACTTAAACTGCTGCCTGAAGTAACTGTGAATCATCTAGTTCTTGGAGCTTTCTTTTTCCTTTTTTTCCATGCTCTTTCCTGTTTAAACAGTCTCCTGGGCCATTCTTAATCTCAATTTCCTCTCCCCTCTGTCTATAATAATCCCTTGATGCAACCTGATATTGTACCCAAACTTTAAAACTCTTCTCCCCATGCAACTTGGGCGTGCTGTCTGCTGTGCTTAAGTGCTCTCCTGATTCAGGTAGTAGCATCATTAGCACCTTTCAAAGAGCTGTATTTATGTARATAGGTTTAAATTGTTATTTCCATCCTGAAGGTGCTTGTGTGGGTGGGAAGGATTAGTCTGTAGATAAGTTAAAGAGCACAGGTGTCTCAGGTGCCTCKGATGTGGAGCACAAGACTGGAGAGAGGCAAAGATCCTGAACACTTACTGCTCCCCCTGCTCAGAAAGATCTGACCACTTGGGTCAAACAGAGCTCACACGTCCTTCACTGGGCATCATCTTGGCTGGTGTGTTTTCASTCTAAATAAACCAGTGCTTTCCTCCAGAAGGGTGTTTTGTTCAAGACAAGGATAATTGGTTTCAATATTCCCTGTGCATATCTCTGAATTGAACTGTTGTTACACTGACTTTAGTTTCTGTTTCATAACATTCACCTTTTTGGTTTTTTTTTCAATGGGAAATAGAAAGTTGGCAATTTGTTTCCACAAATTGTATACCCCTCTACAACTGGAAAAGAAAAACTCACGCAAGGTTTTTTTATCATCTTTTGCTAAAACTGTTTGAATTCACTTTTTGCCACTTCTCTCAAAAGACCAACACTCTCCCTCTGTATCTGTCTCAGAGCACTTTTGCAAAAGCCAGTTACTATGTGGCTGAGAAATCCTTTTGGCTGGTGTCCATATTTTAGAGCAATTGTCTCCCATGAGAAATGCCTAGAGAAACTAGATGGTTTCCCATTCTATATTTTAGCATTGTCCTGCAATCCAGAAAGWCAGGGATATGTCCCAATGGTCAGTGTAGTATCCTCACGCTGTATCTGAGGATGGCTCTGTATTCCCCCTCAGGGTGAGTATGTGTGGCTGTGCAGAAGAGGCTGTGCACGTCTGCACTGCAAAGCAGCTGGAAGGAAGAGATACCCCATAGCAGCACAGAGTTCAGGGGGTGCTGGTTCACCTTTCCCACTGAGGACTGCATCTCCAGGATCCTCTGCAGCCTCCAGTGCAGGGACACCTGCCAGGTGATACTGGACTCCTAGCCACAGGCCTGCTGGGATGGGTATTGTACTCATCCAAGTGAAGAGCACGGGTATTAGCCTTGGAAGAGCTCAGGCATCGGCCTTGGAAGAGCTCAGGCATCAGCCATTGAGGAGCTAGAAAGTCTGAAGGAGTTTGATACTTGGAAAGTGATACATGCCCATATTTTAAACTTGGAGCAAAAGTCAATAGTGATGAATGCATACAGAAACTGCCAGCAGTCAATATCCAGGCTAGGCTCAAGCCAAAGTGCTCTCCTCTAATGTAAGTCATTCTTTCAATGTTGGAAGGGAGAGGAGAAGAATGAGAGGCAGAGGCAAATGTTTTATTAACCTTTTTTTTCCTTTTGTCTATTTAAATATTAAACATGAGTATTTATTAAGGAAAATAAAAAAAAAAAAAACCAAAGGAAAGGAGTAGTATGGAACAGAAATGGAAATTAAATGAAGTTAATATATCACTCAACAGGGCCATTTCTAAGATGAAATATGCCATTTGCTCCCCATCACCACAGCTGTCCAATTGAAACAGCAGGTGAATATGATGATATACTGTACAATTTGGGATTTCAGCAAAGCAAATATGCAAATAAATGATATTGATGTATTCAGTAGAAATAAGAATATCTAAATAAATAAGTAAAGTCAGTACATAACAACGAGAAAGCAGTGTGCGAGAGCAATTTTCCATTTTCGTTGCAAAGATAGTTTATATATTCCATGAAATAGTGTTGTAGTAACCTGCATGCTTAAGAATGTCATCAAGGCAAGGTTTGTAGACAGGCTGACTTTGTTGGGGAAAAAACAAATTCCTGAACACAAATGCTTTCTAACACCTCTTCCAGATTCCATTTGATAAAGGACCTGATCTCCCCCTATAGGGCTCTACAGACCATGGYAAACCACAAAAGCCATGACAGTCTAGAATGTGTTTTGTACAGAGATATAAGAAGAGCCTGTAAGCTTCAGAGACATCTACAAAGTGATGTATCAGCAGTGCTTTAGCAAAAACCTCCTAGCACAGYATCCAGTRCAGGGCTTTGGAAGGARGAGCAGTTTGGAACTAAAAAAAGCCCCATGTGTTCTTTCCTTTTCATTGCCTGTTTCACAGATGGAGTGGAGATGGGGTAATATGTCTTGCTTAGCAAGCCCATTCTCCATTTTGTGTTAGWTTCTTATGTAAATATATCTTCCGAGTGGACAATCTATCAGTCTACCTACTAATTCATCTGTTTACTCAAAATTGTCTTCAGACATGAAGCATGTTATATTTTATGAAAAYAGATTGTCTTAGGGTTTTGTCTCAGTTTTCTTCATAATGTCTTACCACTTAATCAARTTCATTTTGTGAAATGTACTGCATCTGTTTTAAAAAATTAATCATCTTGTACCTCTGCAATCACTTGGAGGATGTCAAAGTGATACAAGAGCCTGTAATTTGTTATTATATTTTGTTGGAATTACAGGGCTGGATCATGGTATTCCTCCACAGCAACTCGGGGTAGCAAATGAAAAGGAATAAGGATTGCAATTTATTTGTCAAAGCTAAATTTTATGTGTCCCTAAGGCCTTGAAAGCTTCATCTCTGCTAGTGGACTTGTCCATCACTGAAAGTACCTCCAGAGTGTTGATGTGTTCACAATTCAATCTGCTCAGTTCCCCAGCACATGCTTTACACCAGCTGCCTCCTGTGTCAGGGTGACAGAGCTTGTGGAGGGGATTTGTCTCAGCACATCCCTCAGGCTGTGCCTGTTGAGGGGGCAGATTGGCAGAGAAACATCCAGCTCATGAATCACACCCATGACTGGTTTCTGAGCAGTTCGATGCCAGTGGGAGCAACTTTGTCAGCCCAGGTGTGCTGAGCCAAGCAGTGTTGCGAGATGGATGTGCCTGGGTGCTGGGAATGGGGGATTTAGCTGTCAGTCATCATCCAGATTTGWCTGAGCAGGAGTTTGTAAGCTTGAAGGCATTAAAAGGATCATCTTCTCCCTTTCAAAGCTTTTGCTCAGCCAGTAGGACAGTCTTGGCAGAGTCTGTCCTTGGCCTCAACCCAACTGCAGGCCCAAGTGAACAGGTCACTATCACAGGATGATAAATCCAGTGGCCTGGCAGAGGGAAGGTGGCCACAGTTCCCTGCCCCAGGGCAGTGTGTGCTCCCAGCAGGCTCATGAGCACGAACACAGCTCATATCTGGGTGCACATGTGACCAGCTCCACAGAAACACTCAACACACAAACAAACACAWGCAGCTCCAAGGGCTCATCCTGTTCTACTCTCTGGCAGATCATGACGAAAACCCATTAATAGAATAAATACATATATTTGTATTATATATTTATTTCTTCATTTGCATGGATTTATCTACAATGTGGCCAGTATCCTGAGWCACTCAATTCTGCACAGTAGCTGGTCCCTGAATCCTCTCATCTCCAGTTGGTTCTTGCACAGACACACACAGTCAGGTCTCTCAGCTGGCTTCCAGACTCCACAACATCCCCAGTAGCTGGCCAGGACCCCCTGGTCCCTCCAGTAGCCAACACACAGGTCTCTGGAGCCTTCAGCATCCAGACCAGGCTTATTGYTGCTTTGATACTTGTCTCCTAAAGTCTCTTATCCTGGTCACCAATTAGTCCAGCTTGATASTCACCAGTGATTCACCCCCAACACACATGTGCACACAGAGTAGAGAGCCCCTCATCCATGAAAAGCCTCTGAAGTGCAGTTCAATAAGAAGACAGGCCCTTCTGACCAGGTGCAGGCCATGGCCAGACAGACAAAGCAACCAGCCAACTCTTGACATGCCACTGGCCCCTTTTATCCCCTTATCATTGTGTTTTCCCACCCAAACCACCAAGATCTCTCCCTTTCCCCATGCTTTGTTCCTCCTCTAAACACCCCACAGTAAGTCTTGTGCAATTCCAAGATGCTCCTCCTCTGCATCCCACACTGTGTCCTGTACCCCTTACCCTTCTCAGCCCACAGAACCTTTCCCTTTACTCAGGGTGAGGTTCCCCAGGACAGCCCTGAGAGGGGCTCATGTTCCCCACTGGGCACTTTTGGGGTTCATCCCCTCCACTGCCTCTGACCCACATGTTCCTGTGGCCAGGCTTTAGTCACAGTCCCCGGCCACCGTGGGAAGGCACTTTTGGGTCTGCTGCAGGCTCTGCCCATCGTGGCTGATGCTCCCTGCCAGCACTTACCCTGGAGGGAAGTGAAATGTAGCTGTGCTTAAAGCCTTTGGCAGGTTAAGCCTAAATAAATATTTATCAACGGCCAAAGGTAGAAGAGAGAGATAATAAAAATGCATCTTTTGGAAGGCTCCCTGTCCAC